CAGTACAGTTTAGGAGAGATCATCTCCATAATAATTCACAGGTAAAAATGCCCAGTAGAATGGATGCTTCCATGAGATGGTAATACTGCATTAATGTCAGTGGAGATCTCCCCATGTCCATTCACACCATGCCAGATACCAGAGAAAAATGGCAGTGGCAAGCACGTAAAGACACAGCAGTAGCAAGAGGCATTCTGGGGCCAAAGCCCTTGGGCCTTGCCTGTCCAAGAGTCACCCACTGGAGCTTTGCTTCCTCATAGCCCAACCCCCTGCTGACACCTACTGCTACTCTGACATGACCACCAGCAGCATCACTGATTGACTCAGGGAATTATTAAAAATAAGAAAGAAAAGAGTCATAATGGGGGAGGGAGAGTACTGGGAAGGTCTAGGTGAGTGGGAGAGGAGATTTGGTTTGGATATGATTAAGATACATTGTATATGTACATAAAACTACCAAAGAATAAATTAAAAGACTGTTCCTTAAAATATACATACATACATACATACATACATACATACATACATACATACGGGCCTTAGGGTGGTGGTGCCTTTAATCCTAGCACTCGGAAGGCAGAAGCAGTCAGATCTCTGTGAGTTCAAGGCCAGCTTGGTCTACAGAATGAGTTCCAGGACAGCCAGGGCTACACAGAGAAACCTTGTCTCAGAAAACCAAACCAAAATAACAACAACAAAAAAATCTGCCTTAACCAAACTGAACAGCAACATCCATAACCAATGTGAAGCCCTGTCTTTTCAGACCAAAAGCCACAGACTAAAGAATACATTGGAACTGGGGGTTAATGTTGTATCTTGACTAACTTTGTTAGTAATGTACATGTGTGATTATGGAAAACCTTGTAAAATGCTAGACTTCAGTGCACTCCCCATTTAAGTAATGGTAAGATAGCAAAGCACACAGGTAGGCTGCAAACCCAGACAAGTGTGTCTGTGTAGCAGGAAAGGAACACTGAGTGAGCTAAATCAACTGCCAGGCTTTTCTCCAAACCCAAGCAGCAACGGACCCAAGCTTGGCTCCTGCCAGCAAAGACAACTGGAAACGTTCCAGGTGAGATAAGAGACTGGACCCTGGTCACTCTTTGAAGACAAAGATCTTATTCCCAGAAGGAATAACCTAGGAAGAATCTTAACGGACCAGATGCTAAAGCTCATGCCTCAGAGGTATCTAGGGTACCTCCCAACCAGAGCTCCAATCAGCCATCTCACTGTCTCCCTTTGTGGACCTGGAAGGTGACCGTGTCCCCAGTGAAACACCAGAGCTCTGTGATACTGTCCAGGGATGGCCCTCAGGGCCAGATGGAGTCAGAAATCACAAGAGCACACTCAGGCACTGGAAAACCACATCCTGCTCCACTCCAGAAGTATGAAGGTGAAGAAGACTAAAAACAGGCTGAGATCAAACTGGACTCACACATGATCCCAGCACTCAGAAGGCCAACTCAGGAGGATTGCCACAAGTTTGAGGTTAGCTTGTACTGAATACTGAGGCCCTGTCTCAAAAGGAAGTGAAAAAAAATTTTTTTTAGAAAAAAGCTAACATTAAAATTAACAATTAGGACAGATTCACTCAGAGCCAAATCGTGTTCTGAAGCAATGGACTGTGAACTTAAAATGCTTCTATTCAGAATGTTCAGAGACAATGTTCGAAAAGAAGCAACAGAACCTAGCAGGTGGCTGTGAGGGGGGTAGATAGGCAGGCAATGTCTTGGTATCTGGAAGACAAAAAAATTCATGGAAACTGGAAGGTGGGAGGATGTAGAAAGCCCTGCATTCAACCCACAACACCAAAACCAGCTGCTGCAAAGGTAAACTTTAAAATGAGAGCTGAGGGATAGAGACATGCTCTACAGTTAGTAGAGCACTGGCTGCTTTTCCAGAGGACCCGGGTTCAGGTCCAACACCCACACGGCAGCTCACAACTGTCTGTAACTTCAGTTCCAGTCAATCCAGTGCCTTCCTCTGCCTTCCTTGGGCACCAGACACAAACATAATGCACAGACATGCATGCAGGCAAAACACGCATACACATAAAATGAAAATTAATTTTTAAACACTCAACTGATGGAACGTGAGTCCTATGCCCAGTTGCCGGTAGCAAGCTCTTTTGTTAGACTATCTTTGGATCACCCCAAATAACAACATGGACACTTGTTATTAATTATGAAAGCTTGACCTTTAGCTTAGACTTGTTTCCAACTTGCTCTTATAACTTAACCCATATTTAAAAAAAAAAAAAAAATCTGCTTTAGCCAAGAGGCTTCGTTACCTCTTCTCAGTTCAGCACATCCAACTTGCTCCAAGTCAACTGTTGAAATCTCCTTCCCAAAGTCCTCTCTTTGTGGAAGTTCCGCCCATCCTCTTCCTGCCTAGCTATTGTCCATTCAACTCTTTCACTAGTCACAGCATTGCATCTTCACTCAGTGTACAAATATCCTACAACAGTTGCCTGTGGAAGTGCTACATTAGAAGTGAGTTCTGGGTTCTCCCAGATCCAAGCAAACGAGAGGACCTTTGCGAGGGGAGAGGGACCACAAGCCAGGAGCACATGCCCACAAGGAATCGATGGAGCAAAGTAGGATTGGAAGATATTTTCTAAAACTGAACAAAGTTGAGTCATTTGTGCCAAGTGTGCAGTAGGGATGATTCACGTGTATGCAAAATGGGAGTGGTGCTACAAAATCGAGGGTTCAACAGACAAAGGTAGATTGCTCATGAAACAACTGAACTAAATTGGCAGCGGGCATCTCACCACTGAGTAAACAAGAGGAAATAGAGTAGTTTTCAAATGCAGAGGGGAAATTACTTTCAATACAGAATTGTAAAACTTAACTAATATACTGAACTGTTACTGCAAGAAAGAATGCACCATGCTCAATCTAACCCAATTAAACAAAGTGGACACACACAACAGACTTAAAAAGTTAGGGTCAGCATTTGTGAGGAAGAAGAAAGTTCTCAGCCAGAGGAGGAGGGGGATGGGAGAGGGTAATAGGAGGTGAAAATGTATACAATTCACTGAGGAAAAAATAAAGATAATTTTTTTAATTTTAAAAAAGGGGGGTGTTGGTAAATAGATGGTTCTGTGGCTAAGAACACATGTGGCTCTTCTGAAAGATCCAAATTTGTTTCCCAGCCTCATGTTGCTGCTCATCATCCACCTGTAATTTCAGCTCAAGGGGATGTAGTGCCCTTTCCTGGCCTCTGTTGCACCCAAACATGTGTGCCATGAACGTGTGTGTGTGTATATGTGTGTGTGTGTATACACATATGTATGTGAAAACTTAAAACACAGTTTTAAAGAGATTTTCTTTAAGGATAAAAGCAATAAAGGCATTTTTAAACCTCTAAGTTATACAAAATAAGAACTGGTCACAGGCTACATGACGTCATTTAAGTCACTTAATTTAATGCCTTGGTCTCTTGAATTATAAACTGGGAATCATAAGCGTACTTGCCTTCTGAGATTAAGGTGACAATTAAGCAGACACAGTGACACATGCCTAGAATCCTGGCGCTTGTGAGGTTGAAACAAGAAGAGTAGGTGTTCAGGGTCGTCCTCAGCTACATGGGATGTTTGATACCCATGGGCAACATGATGCCCTTTCTAAGTGGCAATTCAAAATAATCCTGTGTTGCTAGAAGGACAGTTACATGTTGAGCACAACATACTTGTGCTGCTGTCATTATCCTCACCATTATCATCTTCATCCCTAGGACAGGTGTTCTTCATGCTCACACTGATAGCAACCACACCTAGAGGGACTGGTGGTAACCCTGGGTATCTCTCAGCCAGTTGACATCTGAGTACACATGTTTTACTAAGCCTTGTATGCCTCAGCTGGTTGTCAGCCTTGTGGGTCTGTCTGGTGAGGGGCTCCACTGCCCTCATCACATTCTTATGGTCACATACTGCTCTACACAAGTCCACTTTGCAGTGAATTCAGTTTCTTCCTCTGTAACCAATGCAAAGTCCTTTGTTGTCTGCAAGGTTCTTGCATTTGCAGAATTACCACACAATGGGTTTCCGGTCTTTAAAGATACAGACTTCTCCTCTACATTTGTTTATTTGTGTGTGCATCGGTGGAGGTCAGTTTTCTCCTTTCACCATGTGGATCCCTGGGCTCAAACTCCAGACACCAAGCTTAGAAGCCAGTGCCTTTAGCCACCACCTCACGAGCCCCAAACCAACTTTCCCTGTGTTATTAATTCCAGACATCATACTCTGTGCTCTTTGGTTGCTACTCATCCTCCGAACTGTTGCTCATTGTCCAAATTGCTCCAGGTTTCTGAGCCTCTTTGTGAGATGACTTCTGTACTGTGGTTTTGGGAGTAACCTGCCTCATCCCAGACCCTCTCTTTGCTGTGTTGCACTTCTAGGCAGAGCAGAAGATTGTTCTCCAAGGCAGCAAACTAGAGCATGAACAGTGCTGTTGAGCATTGTGTGTGTGTTCTCTTGTGTCTGAAGAACATGGGAAAGCTTCCATGAGAGCCCCGTTATATCAGAGCCAGTGGTGTTAATCATACATAGCACCAGATATGGGACAAAAGGAGACAGTAAACAGGGACACCAGGAACCGTGTCTTTCCAGTGCTCACACATCTCATACAAAAAGCGAAGATGGCATTGAAAGTCATCCAGTTCAAGGCAGAATTCTACCAGGCCTCAGTAAGAGAAGAAATACAAAGACTAAAAATACTGAATATTCCCTAAATACTCACATTACCATGACATGTTCCAGGCCCTGATGATACCACTGCTTTGTGTCAATCTTTGATGTGGTGAACTAAATCAGATACTTCATTTTTCCTTAACATGAGCTAAAAATAAAACCTTGGTGCTGGAATCAAATGAATGTTATGTTCTCCAGGCAGAGGAAACAGACATTTATTAGATGTTATTGCTATTTCCTTTGCACTAATGACATTACAAAAGCTCTTTGGGTAATATAATTTGAAGCTATTATTTCTGTATTTCAGGTCATGCAAGACAAGATCATCTGCCTTCCGAAGAGAGTGCAGCCTGTTCAGAACCACTCTTCTGTTTCCAATGTCTCTCAGGCAGTCATCAGTACCACCCCGCTGCCTCCACCTAAGCCCTCTCCAACCAACCCCACCACCGTGGAGATGAAAGGGCTGAAGACAGACCTGGACCTTCAGCAGTACAGCTTCATCAACCAGATATGTTACGAGCGAGCCCTCCACTGGTATGCCAAGTACTTCCCCTACCTCGTGCTCATCCACACCCTGGTCTTCATGCTCTGCAGCAACTTTTGGTTCAAATTCCCTGGTTCCAGTTCCAAGATAGAACACTTCATCTCCATCCTGGGGAAGTGCTTTGACTCCCCGTGGACCACGCGTGCTCTCTCTGAAGTGTCTGGAGAGGACTCAGAAGAGAAAGACAACAGAAAGAACAACCTGAACAAGACCAACACTATCCAGCCTGGTCCTGAAGGCAACCTGGCCAACGCCCAGTCTCTCAAGTCGATTCCTGAGAAGTTTGTGGTTGACAAATCTACTGCAGGGGCTCTGGACAAGAAGGAAGGTGAGCAAGCAAAGGCCCTGTTTGAGAAGGTGAAGAAGTTCAGACTGCACGTAGAAGAAGGTGACATCCTATACGCTATGTACGTCCGGCAGACGGTGCTCAAGGTTATCAAGTTCCTAATCATCATTGTGTACAACAGCGCTCTGGTTTCCGAGGTCCAGTTTACGGTGGACTGTAACGTGGACATCCAGGACATGACAGGATATAAAAACTTCTCTTGCAATCACACCATGGCTCATCTGTTCTCTAAACTCTCTTTCTGTTACCTGTGCTTTGTAAGCATCTACGGCTTGACGTGCCTTTACACCTTATACTGGCTGTTCTACCGTTCTCTGAGGGAATATTCTTTTGAGTATGTCCGGCAGGAGACTGGAATTGATGACATTCCAGATGTGAAAAATGACTTTGCTTTTATGCTCCATATGATAGACCAGTATGACCCTCTCTATTCCAAGAGGTTTGCGGTGTTCCTGTCTGAAGTCAGCGAGAACAAATTAAAGCAGCTCAATTTAAATAACGAGTGGACCCCTGACAAACTGAGGCAGAAGCTGCAGACCAATGCCCATAACCGCCTGGAACTGCCTCTGATCATGCTGTCCGGCCTTCCAGACACCGTGTTTGAAATCACGGAGTTGCAGTCTCTGAAGCTGGAGATCATTAAGAATGTCATGATACCTGCCACCATTGCCCAGCTGGACAACCTTCAGGAGCTCTCTCTACACCAGTGCTCCGTCAAAATCCATAGTGCGGCACTCTCTTTCCTGAAGGAGAACCTCAAGGTCTTGAGTGTCAAGTTTGACGACATGCGGGAGCTGCCCCCTTGGATGTACGGTCTCCGCAATCTGGAAGAGCTCTATTTGGTCGGTTCTCTGAGTCACGACATCTCCAAAAATGTCACCCTAGAGTCCCTGCGGGATCTCAAAAGCCTTAAAACCCTCTCCATCAAAAGCAACCTCTCCAAAATCCCTCAGGCCGTGGTGGACGTGTCCAGCCACCTCCAGAAAATGTGCATCCACAACGACGGCACCAAACTGGTGATGTTGAACAACCTGAAGAAGATGACCAACCTGACAGAGCTGGAGCTGGTGCACTGTGATCTGGAGCGCATTCCCCACGCTGTGTTCAGCCTGCTCAGCCTCCAGGAACTGGACCTGAAGGAGAACAACCTGAAGTCGATAGAAGAGATCATGAGCTTCCAGCACTTGAGAAAGCTAACCGTGCTCAAACTGTGGTATAACAGCATCACCTACATTCCAGAGCACATCAAAAAACTGACCAGCCTGGAAAGACTGTTTTTCAGTCACAATAAGGTAGAGGTGTTGCCTTCGCACCTCTTCCTATGCAACAAAATCCGATACCTGGACTTGTCCTATAATGACATTCGCTTCATCCCACCCGAAATCGGAGTTCTGCAAAGTTTACATTATTTTTCCATCACTTGTAACAAGGTCGAAAGCCTTCCAGATGAACTCTATTTTTGCAAGAAACTAAAAACTTTGAAAATTGGGAAAAACAGCCTCTCCGTACTTTCACCAAAAATTGGAAATTTACTATTTCTTTCCTACTTAGACATCAAAGGTAATCACTTTGAAGTCCTTCCCCCTGAGTTGGGCGATTGTCGGGCTCTGAAGCGAGCTGGGTTGGTCGTAGAAGACACTCTGTTTGAGACTCTGCCCTCAGATGTCCGGGAGCAAATGAAAGCAGAGTAACTTATTTTTCATCAAAACACGACTGAAACACGCTTCTACCAAATACAATATAAAGAATTAGGTAGTCTTAATGCCTTTCCTATTTTATTTTTGGTTTTTTTTTTTGGGGGGGGTGTTTGTTTTTGTTTTTCACACAAGACAAAATGTACACAAAGATTGAGTAAGGAGTATGTATTTTTTAATAAAAATTTAATTGTATTTTTCAATATTAATATTTTAAAGTTTTGTTTGTCCAGGAACTATTGTATCTGTTAATATTTCCTACCAACAACAATGGGTAGTTCCATCTGGCTTTCAGTTTGGTTTTTTTTTTTATTTCAGTTCATTCTAGTAAGGAAAGGAACTGTAGATTATGTGCATTTTGGCATATTTGAAATGGGTGGAGACAACTTTGCCAACACCATTTTTTACCTTGTTTCTACTTGTCTGGGTCCTTGTTTGTGTTTTCATCCTGTGTACTAAGGAGTCTGTACCAGTTGTTTTAATATCAGCTGCCTTCTTCATTGGCCAATTTTTCCTCTCTGTAGAAACCTTGCAGTGTGAGTTCACATAAGTGCATTGTCACGGAGTATTATTTCAAAAACTGTCCCTCTGCCCACAATGTTAACTGTATAATTCCCTGAACAAAAGTTTCAGGTAGCCTCCGATGGGCTTCTAAAGTGGGTGAAGAAAGATGCCCCGCCCCCGTCCCCGCCCCCACAGTTACAATCCTTGTGTTTGTTGGTCATTTGTTGTTTAACTGATTAGTATTTTTACCAACATCCTAAAATTTGTTATTAAAAATCAAGCACCCCCCTCCATCCACCTCAGTATTGCCATGTGGTGAATGACCTTAGGGAAATTAGATTTATTTTAATATTCTAGTAGATAATTAAATTTTAAATCATAGAATTAGAAGCTTGTTTTGAGTAATGTAATCATTTTTTGATGTCATGATATGTGGATGCATCAGATGGTAAACAATCTTGCTACTAAGGCACTCTGTTAGAAAGCTGATCTATTCTGTGCAGGCCCTGCCCCTTCCTTGGGCTCTGTGCGGTGATGATCAATACACTTTCTACCTGCTGAACAGAACAGCCCAGTATATACATATGTATAGTCATCAACTTCCCGCAAGCCTACCCTTGATGAAGATGTTAGTGACCCAAGCATGGGAACACCTCAGCTGTCTGCTTAAAATTGTATCTCACTTAAGTTGGTTCTGTCACTTTCCAAATGGGTGACTAACCTGTAAGTGTTGTCACTTAGCAATAATTCCCTGCCTGGTGGCTGACAAAGCTTTTTCTTACCTTTGTCTTCCTAAAATCCAGCCTCGTATGGAGACTTAAGCTACACAGTTCACTGACTGTAAGAAAAAGCCTTAATTCAACACTAAGAGTAGGAAGGTGATCTGGGGTTTGACATCCTGTTTGAAGAATGTTTTCTTGGCCCCCATGACCTTGCCCAGCCCAGTCTTTTGTGACATGCAGACATGTAGAAGGCAGCTCTGGGAGGATAGAGAGTTGTAGGTAGGTAGCTCAGTGAGGAAGCAATTGCCCAGCAGCAAGCCCCTGAGTGTAGTCACATGACACTACAAAGCAGATATGGGGGGGGGGGCACATCATTTGAGTGGATGAAGAATGAATGACAGATCTCTGCAGTGGGCCAGCCATGTTGAGCAGATTCTTTTTTCCATTTAAGGTTTCAATCATGATTTTTTTAAACCTGGAATTATAATAAAATTCTAAAATGCTGTTATGGCTATACTTGTGAAGAAATACTCAATTTTAGCATATGGAGATCCTGAGTAAGAATGCTGTGTCATGTTCAGAGACAGCTCTATCTTAAAGAAGGAACATTATGGGCAGACTGTAACTGGGCACAAGTAACCTGCCGTGGAAAAGTAAACTGAGTCAGAGAATCCACTGTCTTGATTGTAAAAAATTATGATTATTTCCAGCATCACCCTTCAAAGGGGAATCTCTTCAGGTTAACTTTCCAGCATCACCCTTCAAAGGGGAATCTCTTCAGGTTAAGTGCCATATTTATGCTGAAGTCTGTATGTGGCATTTAACTGAAAATCCAGTATAAGTTCACAACTAAGACAAGTCACCAATAACTCAATTTTATCAAGCTTCCAAAATAATTTATTTTCATGACAATTCTGCAGGCTGACTCCCAACCTAAGTTGTAAATAGCATTCATAAATCAGTATAAAAGTCTATGACCTTATGTTTTAACTAAGAGAAAAATATTCATAGATGTTTCTATTCGATTTTATAAAACCTCTTAAGCCTCAACCTTAACTTTGAAGGATTTAAATTTTCTGATTTTTGTCCTTTTTTAATACAGTCAGCTTTTTTCGTATTCCTGAGTAAGATGCATTCGATCACTATCTAGCCTTCCAGTGGGACACTCAGGTACCTGAAATGCTGAATTTTCTAACGTTCTTCTATCCAACTCAGCACACAGAGGTTGTCAGCCTCGTCACTCTGTGTTTTCCAAGTGCTCTTGCTAAGGAGGACCAGCCAGCTCTTTGTCTAACCTCTGATTCACAACAAACTTCTGTGTAAATCACAAATGTGCCATCCATCCAGGGGCAGCTCAGGCTCCAGGTGGACAAGTTGTACAATGGGGTCTAATCCAGAAAAAAAACAGTGTCTGGTTGGAGGTCCTAACAGAGCCCAACCTAAGGGACTGGCAAGATGGCTTTGTGGGTGAAAGTCACTCACCCCCCAGACTGAGGACCTGAGTTTTATTCTCCCAGTCCACACAGTGGAAGGAGAGAGCCAGCTCCCATAAGTTGTCCTCTGGCCTCCACAAAGGTGCCATGGCATGAGCACCTACACAAAATGCATACACAGATGAATGGTTAAAAAAAAAAAAAAAAAAAAACCTAAAAGATAATGCCCCAGGACAGTACTGTGTTTTCTTATTAGAGGATTTGGTCTGGTTTTGAATATCAAAAATCTAGATGAGATAAAACCTGGTGTCTACAAGTGTAGGTTCCTGCATTGCCCACCCAGCTCACCTCCGATGTCATAACGTGCTCCAACAATCTCCATGGTGTCTTGAACAGCAAGCAGGCCTGCTTATTTGGGCAGCTTGGGAAATGTTCCTACCCCACAGATTTTGTTCATTTTGATAATGGGTCCTGCTTTGGAAGGATCTGAGACAACTTGGGTTCTTTTGGGTTTCTTGGCAGTTTCTTACAGCATGATTGTTTACAGTTTCAATTTATCTCACTCTCTAATCCAATTTCATACCAGATGCCCCATCAGCAGTATTGGCATTTTCAACAGGAGCTCGTATGGCTCAACAATTCAAAATCTGTTAGCATTACTGTTGCAGGTAGCGTAAATGTTGATGTGGTTTCAGCTTTTCAGAGGGTAAACTAAGACTGCATTAGTATTGTCCTGTGATGCCTCACTGTGAGGACACTGGAAGAAATTCACACGAGAGCAGAATCCCAAGAACAGGTTCCTTTCTACTCATGGCGACAATGAGACTTTCTAGAAAGGTCTGTGTGATGTTTGCATCTTGTCTCTTCAGGGACAAAGTAAGAAAACTCAGACAGTCTTACCTAGAGCTGCCATGAGTTTTAAGACTTAGTTCCTGACTTTCAAGCTCCTGATAATTTGGTATCAGCCTTCCAAGCAAGTACCCTCCCCCATCCTCCTTCCCCAAAGTCACCCACAAATATAGATGGCATCTTTATGTTCATCTGAGGGAGAAATGAGAGAGACTCCCTCTGCCCCTAGAATTATTTTTTAATTCTATAGAACTTGCACTGCTTAGCCTACTGACCAAATAGCAGCCACTCTGTATTTAGGGTTTGGCTTGGTTTCCGAGCCAGGGTCTTGCTCTGTAGCCCAGGCTGAGCTTGAACTTGAGAACCCCTTGCCTCACCTGGGCACTGGATTACAGGTGTTCACCACTGACTTGCATAGTTTCTAATGTATTTGTTTGCATCTTCATCCTCCCTCCATACTATTCTTTGGGGTTGACACCCCATGCCTTATGTGTTTGCTACATGTTTGTCTTGCATTTGTTTACAATGTTCACAGTGCATTCAGCCTGTCTAGTGCTGGCGAACTTCTTGGACTGTCAAGAGAAAGGACTGAGAGTTGATTTGTCATAATACATGTTCATGAAATGTCTTGATGTTATTTGGCTATGTAGTGTATAGGAACAAAAATAAAGTTCATTTTTGTAACATAACTTGGGGCTATGTCCTTTTCTTACTTGTTTATAACAGTCATGATTATCTTTTGTTCTTAAACCATTACCAGTGTTCTCTGGGCTGCAGGAAATAGGCTCATTGACTTTAACCATTGGAGCTAGTTTTTATAATGGTGAATAATTGTTTCCTTCCTTAATTCACTGCACTGAATCTTACCTAAGGTGTCCCTAGAGTTTTGTTTGTGTAATCAGTGCTTTAATGTATAATCTGGAGTACAGTTTTTGCACATTTGCCAATCAGAATGTACAATGGCTACTCCAGGTCAGCTTCAGTAAATACCCTCGCGCTTGCTTAAACAAGTGAGAGCAGTCTACACAGCCAGAGAGGCCTCCTCACCCAGGCCCTGCTGCAGGGCAATTCTACATGCTGTTGCATAGGCATAAGAAAACAGTGACTAGTGTTGATAACTCTCATAGCTCTGCTGTCATCACACATACTTTCTGGGTAGAGTTCTGTTGCTGGCAGTCACATCTGGGAAGGATGATTGTGATGAGGGATGATGGGCTGGTGGTGGGAGGGGTTGAGTGAGTTATGTTTCAGAATCAGAAGCAACTCTGAGAGCGCTAGAGAACTTTAGAGACCCAGATTCCATATGGTGTGGCCTCAGAGTAGTGCTCATACCAGGAAAAGCCCCTGCCAGCTACTGCCCACCACTTTTCCATCTTCCAAAACTTTCTTTCGTGAGGGATATTGAGATAAACTGAGGCTAAGCAAACGATGAGGTTAGTGACTATTGCTGGCCAGCCTTTCATTTGAGGGGGTGGGTAAACGTGCAAGGGGAAAGCCCACCAAAGTTCATTGGAGATTGGCAGGGATGTGTCTTAGTCACGTCTGTGTTGCTGTGATAAAAACACCATAACCAACTTACAGAAGGAATGGTTACTTGGTTTCCCGCTCCAGGGGTTAAGAATGGGCCATGGCAGGGAAGCATGGCAGTGAGCTGTGGGCGTGCCAGAGGAAGTTCACAGCTCCAACTGCAAACAG